ATTAATTTGAAAAATAAATTAAAAAATTTATTAATTAATTTATTAAATTAATTAATTTATTTATTAAATTAATTTATTTATTAAATTAATTAATTATTAATTAATTATTATAAATTAATTAATTATAAATTAATTATTTAAAAAATTGATTAATTTAAATATTAAGTATAATTTATAGGATATATACTTTCTTTATAATGCCATTACATATTTCTATTATTATAAAAAGTTTCAGAGCTTTTTATTCACTTTACTTTTTTGGGATTTTATGAACTGAAAAATGAAAGTTTTCGTGAGAATGACCCATATATATATACTGCTATAATTTGTGCCCTGAAAGAGTGGTCAACAAATCTGCCCTTCTGATACCCAAATGAAGAATGTCAATATCTAGTGGGCATTGAGGAAAAAAGATAAAGAATTATCTCATCGTATAGAAACATTTTACCATAATTAACTACATTTAATCATAGTTCGTGAGGCATATTACAATTTGTAATATTTTTGGAAAGTTTATAAAAAAGAAAGTCTTAAAAGCATTAATGAGAAAAAATACATTATGAAGTGTTAAAAGTGACTGCTCGAAAAAAAATGAGCATGTTACTGATTTTCGGGGTTTTGCATTCCTAAACCATTGATGTAGATGGCACATTAAGCTAGCACTTTCACTTGCAAAATCTTTTAACACTATGAAAGGAGAATTGCAGTAAACCTGATTGAAATATAAAATTGTTGCTTTTTTAATAACATGCTTGAAACGGCTTTTCATAATAGTAATGTGTGTGTTTTCATAATAGTATAATTTGTAGTTTTTCATAATAGTATGAGTGATAAAATAGTTTTTCCATTTTTAATTGCTAAGTAATATAGTAAATTGTTTCAAATTACACAAATTTAGTAATTATTTCCTTGCACATGTAAAATCTTATCCCCCTTCTTCCTTTTTAAAACATTCATAGAAAAGAAGAGAAGTAGAAATTGTTTGAAGTTTTCTGATCAGCCCAGAAGCAAACTTATTGTTATATATATATGTAAAAATTGGTTTCTATCTTTGTCAAATCTCACAACCTACAACTACGTATTTTATTTTGTAAGGATTTTTTTTTTCCTGCTTTAAATAAAATAATTAATCTGATTGATTTAAAGTATGAGTTTGTGTTACATTAATTTTCCTATTTTTGTTTTAAAATTTTTATACTGAAGCCTTAAAGTGAAAATTGAGAATTTTAAGACTTCTTTGTAGTAATCTGATGAAAATGATAAATTTTGTATAGTAATGTGTACACAATAGCCTGATTATTAAAATAACTTACTGTGTAAAAAATGAATAGATATCTTCTTGAGTAAATAGTTATAACTTAGCTTATCTTTTGATCTATTTAGTTTCTAGTTGGAAAGAAATTCCTTCGCCTGTGGAAACCGTCCTAAAACAAGAAATGAGTAAGATTTATAAGGATAAAAATGCTCATGAACTTAACGAAGAATTTTTAGTTCACTATTCTAATTCATTGCCTCATCTACTACAAGGTATGATTTCGTTGAGTTTATAACATTTTTAGTATTAACATTTTACTTCTCTATAATTTGTTTTGTCTCTCTTTTTATATTTTATTTTAATGTCTTAACCAATATATTGTTTATTAGGTATCATAAAAAACTTTTTTTTTTCAATTATAGTTTTTTTACTTTTATATGAATGTAACTTTTTTTTTAAAATTACAATCTAACTACTAACAAATATTAAAGAAATTTAAAAGAAAAAAAAAGCGCATGGTTTTACAAAAGCAATTTCACCAAACTTTCTTTGCCCATCAGAGACAGTTTGAAAAAAGTTATAAATAAATTAAGTATGAATGCTGTGTGTATTACTATAAAAGTAAAAAATACTTTTAATATTTATTTAAGTTTTATTTGTAAATATTTCTTTTTATTTATATATTTATCTAAAAATGTAAGAGAGGAGAAGAAAGGTTGAATTGAAATAATTCAAGAATGGAGCTTGGCTTGAGAGCTCTATAATTCATTCGGTAATTAACCTTTAATTAACACTTCAATTCTTGTTATTTGCGATTATTAAGATTATTATTTTTAAATAATATTATAAGTCCTTTATTGTTATTCGCAATGTCCTTGAATTCCCTAGGGTTTTTTTTTCCCTTGAAATTTCAAGAAGCAATTTTTAATTTTAGATCTAGTTGCATTTTATACATATGAATATATTATGTGTGTATTTTTCACTATTATATATTTTTTACAATGATAGAGCATTAAGAAATATGATTGTTCCTCAAAGCAAGGTACTGATTTTTTATTTTATTACATTTTGTTATGTTGAGTTAAATACATAATGACAATGCTTGGTATTGAGAAGTCGTTCATCCAACCCCTAGATTTACCTCTAATAAAAAAAATTCCACTCTTGTGTACACCTTGTTCATTCAAAAATTTCTTATCGAAGTATATCTCTAAACTACTGCACAAATTCTTGAATATATTAGAAACATTCTAGGTTTTAATAAAATAAAGATACATCAACTTCCATAAGTTGTTCTTTTGCTGTATATATGATTAGGTAATTAAGTTTTTTATATTTTAGGTGCTCGAATGAAGTATTTTGTCGATAAACAGTCACAAGAAAAAGCAATTAGTTATGTCATGAATTTAAACAATCAAATGAAAGAAGTGACATTACAGGTACAATGTCTTTGACAATTTTTGATATATTTTTATGGCTGCCATATTTTTTGAATGTTAATAACTAATCAAAACTGGTATCTAACAGCAAAAAAATTCGCTTAATTTTTACATAAATGTTCCACTTTTCTTTTCATGGGTGCACTCTTCATATAATAAGAAATATATAAAAGGTCTCTGCACACTAAAAAAAAAGGTAAATTTTTTTAAAATTTGCCTTGCAATAGAAAAGACAATGTAAATGCCGCACCTCAGTTTTTGTAATTGCATGGTGAAATTTTAATTAGTATTGGCAAAGTTGATATTACTTAACTAATTACTTCGTATGGAAAATAAAAATATTTTATCTTTATCAAATGTAGTTTCACTAATATAATTTTAAATTAATTATTTTGTATATTTTTCAATTATATTATGCTGTAAAATGGAATGTGTAAAATAAGTGATTAAATCAGATTAAGTTTGTATTTAATACTAAGGGTTGTGCATTGCCTTTTATGTTACAGTAATGCAAACCATAAAACCTGATTTTTTGCATTACATAAAATTTTGCTCTATATAGATCATTCACCTATTACAAACTTACCTAGTATTAATAACGATTCAATACTGGAATATTAATGGTTTAATATTATTGGTTTAATTCAAATATTCATAAATTTGTAAATTCAAATACAAAAAAGCACAAATATATAGAAATGAAACATTTATTATTTTTAAGAAAAAAATTATCAGGTGAACATTGGCCCAATAATTTCAAAATCTCAACTTTCTACAAAATATTTAAGATAGCACGTTTTTTATTTCGTCTTTTAGCTTAACCATTTTCAATTTGTTCCATTTTTTGTTATAAATTGATCAGCAAAATTACAAGACTAGGTGATCAAATGCACAGCAAAGTGCAAGTAAATGTTTAGTTATACTGTAGCTCCAACTAAGGAAAAATAATCCCATTCTGCCAGTGGCTGTGAAAAACATCAATCCATCATATCACAAGCAAGCTATAAACTTAGTTCTACAGTGGGCAAATATAAGCCTATCTTATTCTAAGTAAATAGGCATATGGTGACACTTGCAAAACCAGGCTTTTTTTAGCGTGATTTTTATTATTTGCATCTATAAAGATATCATAGTTAATGAAGAATATTGTGATATATCGATCTTCTACTGTATATGATAAACCAGAATATGGCCTGTTATTATTAGGTGAGAGCAGGGCTTTTGGTGCTCCATTGCTCTTATATTGTTGCAAACCTGCACCAACCTGCTTTAGCTATAAATGGTGTTTTCTACACTAGGAAGTGATGCAGCTCTTTATCCTCAGCATTTTCAGCTTACTGTATCTGGCCTATTTTGATCAGATGCCATTCGGCTGAATTAAGGGACTGACAATCTATAAATATAATAGTAAAAAAGTGGGAAAGAAGCATATCATACTAAAAATTAATTTTATATCTAAAATACATACATTCTCTTCAAAAAAACAGAAAATTTATTTTTTTAAAAAGTTGTTATACAACATTATCATATCATAAATGTACTGATTACTTAAAAATTAACAACAATAGTGTTAATTTTTGAAAAAAATTAAATGCGCATAAAATACCTAAACAGAATATCCAAAAGTGGAATTACCAAGGGAAAGTCTAATATCCAAATATAGCAGCAATATATTTCATTTTTTATTTATTTTAAAGGAGAAGAAAAACTATCTGTTATTGTGAAATACCAAATCAGAATATGGTGACTTTCACTAGTGAATATCACCAATCACATAGTCGCTTTGGTAACTGCCTGAAATATTTGTCCGATTCGATACTAATTTATTTATAGCATATATTTTGGACAATACCAACATGACTGTGATTGTTGAAGTTCACTAGTTAAAGTCTACAATAACCAATTTCCATCTTTCATTCATAGCTAAATTAAGGTCTATAACTTATTAAAACACAATTTCTCTTCAAATTCATCAGAATTTATCAATAACAACATTAATATCTTTTAAAATGAAAAAAAGTCTGAGCTTATAGATTGTAATATTTATTTTGTTTCCTGAAAACAAAATGAGCTGTTTCTAATTCCATATTGAGCTTTTAACAGTTAAGCACATTTTAAGTCAATGTCATTTTGGCTACTGTTACCATAATTCTTGTAAATTTCTTACAATACATACTTTTTTCAAAGACTTAAATTTGTTCCTTGTATGAGATTTCATCTACTTTACAAAGAGTGCAAAGTTTTTGCTCAAATTTGTCATTAAACATATCTGTATAATGTATGTTTGATTCTGAATGCACAAAATTCTTAGTTGATTTCATTATCATAGCAATATTTTTATTTAAAAATGTTTACTTTCAAACCAGTTTCAACCATAAGTGCCTTGTCATTATGTAACAAAAAGTTATGAATACAGTAAATTTCTATTTTCTGATATATATACACTTATAGGGATTTTTTTTATTTCCGTTGTATGTATCTAGAATTGACACATCCATATATCTTGTCGAACTTGCTTCCTAAAATTTAGCTTATTTAAAGTATGTTTTAGTATAGTTTGTTAACCTCTAGTATTTGTTTTGTACTATGTCTGCCCTCTGACTTTCGCGTAGAACTGAGTATTTATTTTTATTGATATTTTGTTTTGTTTGAATTATGCTAAATTAGTTTGGAGCTATAATATAACCCTAGAATAAATGTAAAACTTCTTCTTCTTCTTCTTTTTTTTTTTTTTTTTTTTTTTTTAAAGAAATGTCAATTTTTCAATCTCATTTTAAATATTAAATACAATGGCATTAAATTTCTGCTAATGTCAAAAAATTTTATTTCATGAAAACACTATGTATTATTAGTTTAATTTTATTTGAACTATTTTATTTAACTCTCTGATTGTTACACTGTTGGAACATACAAAAATTTTCCGGTCAAGCACAGTGTCTTCATAGCATATTGAGAAAAATCAGTCTTTCATGTGAAAAAACAACCTGAACTAGATTTTACCTTGCAAAATCACATTAAAATTCCTGAATATCAAGAAGGATATGGTATAATTTGTGCTATGTAGACTTAAGCGAAAAACATCATGGATGAAGCATAAATCAAGTACAGAAAAGGGCAAACTGTAATTTCAATTTTTCTCAGTGTCATTTGGTGTTTAGACACTAAAAAAGATTTTTGTTTCGAGAACAGAATTAGTGTGTCCATTTCTGTACTTGATTTGTGCCTAATTTACATTTTTCAGTTTAGTAGAAACATGCTGAAATTGTAATATAAAGTTGACAATTAGGAATACTTTCTTTAATCTATAAATGTGACTACTCTTATTTAACATGGTTATTTCTTTCAGAATTGCCTTGAAGTGCTGGAAGCAATGAGAAATGGCGATCTTGGCTCCTGTGATAAAGAAATGACCTCTTTCCTAGCCAAATGCCGAGAACTGTTTCCTTATGCTGCAGTTTTCAGGCAACCGACACATGAGAACAATGGCCCAACAACCAATTCTGTTGCCAACCATGTAGACAGTATACTCAAAGAAGAATAATATATTAGTACATGTGTAAAATAATAATAAATTTAAATTCAACCTGTGCTGTCCTCTTCTCAAACTCAATATCCATTAAATTGGAGGCAGCTTCAGACACAAGCATATGATGCGATCATCTCTCTCTCTCTCTACTGTGCTCTCAGGTCTTACCTAGCAACAGTGTGCCTATATGTGTGCTGAATCATGCCAAGACACAGACTTTTGAAATGGATGATAAATATAGTTATAGTTTTTTTTAAAGAAAAAAAAACAATGTGAACTCCGTAACTGGTGATTTCGAGGCTTTTTGCGCCTCCTGTAAGAAACTTAAATTTTGAAGAATGCCGTTTGAGCGGAGGACCTTATGTTGGGAATGTTTTGTAATAATGAGTAAAAATAAATAAACGAGTTCGTGATCGGAAGTATGATTACATTTTACTAGTCTGTTTCAACTATATTATCAAAGACTATTAGTTAACTACAGTAAAAAAAAAAAAAAGACTGTGACTTGATTAGTATTTGCTTTATTAGGAATGCACTAAAATGCTGTGATACATGATCTATTGACAATTTTTAAAATTGTTTAGGTTTTTCTTTAAAATATCATGATGTTAATGTTTTAATTGACATGCTATTCAACTGAATTTTGCAACAAAAAAAAATTGTTTTGTTATTAAATACTTAAATGCCTTTTTAATGAACTATATGTAAAAAGAAACGATCCAAAGTTTTGTTGTAAAGTTTTATTAATTGTAAAATTAAACTTTACATTTCATACAGTAAAGCACTGTTTATCTGATTCACAGAATTTGTAATCTATAACTTTATATAAAAAAAAAATTATTATTTATTATATTCAAAAGACCATTTCGTCATATATAAACACACACATATATAAACTGCACTTGCTTTATTTCCATTATTTAAACAAAAATTAGAATTTTTATTTGAATAGTTCCAATAATTTGAGTAGAATTAGCTATACATTTTAATTCATAGTTGCGAGAAACTCAAATTTATAAAAAATGTAAGATTTATTTATCAAAACTTATCTGTTTTGAAAATCTTTATTACTTATTTTACAAAAACAAAATGTAGTTAGCAATTTTTACTGTTTAAACTGTTCTTCTGCCTTGAAAGTTTCTTTACTGAAAGAAAGGGAAAAAAAAGGAAATAGACTGTGCCAAAATTAAACCATTGTCACAGAGAGGAAGGATGACAATGTAGAATAAAAAATTTTGGAAATGTAAATAAAATTGTGTAAATCTATTTTACATAGTTATGGAAAATGTTAATAAAGCTAAAAGTCATCCAGACTTAGCTAGCATTATGTATGAATTTAAAAGGCATAGAAATAAACAGTGCTATGCTGTGGATTGTTTTTTTGGATTATTAAGCTTAAAGAAAGTATTAATAATAAAGTATTGATTGATTTCCATGGTGAATTTTGAACACTAAAAAATGCAGGTGATGTCTACCCCTTTTGAATTTTATATTTCAGTAAAAGCTCAAGATCTTGATTAATTTCATTATTTGAATAGTGATAAGTCTTAGTGTTTTTTTCCAGAACATTTTTATATTAAACTGTTCCTTTGTACTGTTTACAGATGCATACTTAACGAGTTTCCAAAATTCCTGGTAGATATCAGCCCAATTCAATGAAGCATACTATTACCTTCTTGAAAGTGAAGTGTTTTTCGTCAAAAATGCTTTTTAAAACACACTATTTTCTGATCTCCTCCTAAACAAAATAATTACATACAATGAGGAATATAACTATCTTAAATCTAATTTTTGGTTTATAACACTGGAATTTTTGCTATTAAATATGATTATCAATTTTTACTGAAAGTTTCAAAACTTTTAATTAAAAGTCATGTTTAGATAAAGAAGTTTTTATATCAGAATGAACATCTTACTTTGAAATGATTTTCCTCATTTCAGTAAATATTACCTTCAACATTTCTTGTTATATTACAATTATTTGTTTTATGTTTGTTAAATCCTTAACATTGGGGGAACGTATTCTTTTTTGGAATAGGGCCATAGAAAATAATGTTTTGGCTTGCGAGCAATATTTTGATTGTCATTTATGAGTAATATTCTTAAAATCAGTAAAAAAAAACAAAATATCGAATTGTTTTAAAAATTAGTTGGAGAGTGCATCAAATTATATTTATTTACAAAGAGTGTATAATATTTTTGATGTGAGAATAATTTTCTTATTTGCACAGTCTTTTAAAATGGAAGTTAGTGTGAAGAGGAATTATAATTTTCTTTTTTTAAAGCAGGTTATATATTTTTCGGTTTGAAGATGGAACTTGCACCTCACCTTGTCCATTGAGGACATACCTTGCTCTCGAATAACCTTAGAGGTTGTGTACTCCTAATTAACATTTGCATTTTCAAATGAAATCTTTCAGGATTGTGAATTTTACTGAATTTAAAAAGGGACTATCTTTCTAGGGTTATTACTTTTTACAGCTTAAAAAATCTGCTATTTGACTAATTATCTGATTTCCGCACTCCTTGTAACAAAAAAAAAAGTTTATTTGGTTTTTTATTACTATATTACAGACATGTCATTTCTTTTATGATGATTTCTAAATATTTTATTGAACATGAACACTTGTGAAACATGAATTTTTTTAAAAAGAATATTTAACATTTTAGAAATGGCCAGGGACTTATTGTATTGAACAAATCATTTTATGATTTTAGTTTTTCCTCAAAATGGATTGTTGTTACTTTTTTTTAGCTCATGTATGGCTTTATTCTTAGTGTATTCTTAATAAATTAAAAGCTGTGAATGAATAATTTTTATGAAAAACTGTTTTTACTTCATAAAGTTTGATTGTGTTACTTGCCCACTTTGTGCCTGTTTTGTTTACTTGCTTTAAAATGTGCTTATTTATGCCAAAAATTTTGTGGGACTTTTTGAGATTGAGTCTTTCATATCTTTAAGTTAACTTTTTTCTAATATTAAATCATTTTTCATTTGCAATTCTTTCTTGTGACTATTTTAATTATTCTGAATTTTTTATTATTATATTCCAATTAAACATTAAAATATTTTGTTTAAAAATATCATTTTGAAACAATTGAATTTCTTTCTTTTTTTTTTTTTTTAAGAGAGCAGCCAATATTGCCTTTTTTTAAAAAGAAAACAGACATATTTTAGTAAATTCTATCCTCTATGCAAATATATTGTTGAAAATTTATTGTTATTTAACACTAGAAAGACTGACATAGGCAAAAAAGTCCATTTTCTAGTGTTCATATTTCTGCCAAATGCCCATAACTTAAAAAATTTCTATGCCTTTTTATTATCAGCTGTACACACATATATCTCTGGCAATAAATAAAGAATGTATCAGTATTTGTGAATTTTACTGGAGTTTCAGAAATGACTGTTTTAGTGTTAAGAGCGGTGCATATTAACTGCCTTAATTTCCGTTGCACTTAGGCCTAATTTTATGGCTGAATTTCTGGTACGATTATCTTGAAAAGGTCTGGGTTGATTTTGATGCATTTTTTTTAAAATTAAATTTTGATGTTACTCATAAAAAAAATTTTAACTTTGAAGAAATATCACTATACACATTACTGGTAAACAATTGAAAATACTATGTTAATGCTTCACAAAGGCAAAAAATTTGCACCTATGTTGTTTTTCCATATCATGATAGTATATTAAAATTCATTTAAAAAAGAAAGTATTCATGGTCTCACTTTATAAAAAGGGAAAAATATTTCAAAACAAAATAGGTCAATATTGATCTACAGTGGTCTCTCGTTATTCATGACTGAGCTGATCTTCATTAGGTGATAGCTTTTTTTTTTAAATATAGTATTTTTGCTATTTGTTTTAGAGATAAAAAATATTGATATAATTTGTAGCAAAAAAAACTTTTTAACTATGATTTTAAAACTAATGCTAGTCTGTCTATTAACTATTTTTTCTAGGGTTATTTTTAATCATTTAAATATCAAACCAGTATTCTCTATCATTTTGTCTATCCTTGATTTCTCATGTTCTTGAATGTTGAACAGAAATGGTTTAAATTCTTAAATAAGTGAATTCTCTAAAGATTTTTTGAATTATGCTCATTCTTGCTTCCTTTTGACTTCTGCCTAAATCTTTTATTTGCATAGTTTAGAAGATCACTTGTAAATTTAAAGTTTTTTCACCAAATTCGTTTCTGCCGTCTAGAAAAATTGTTAAAATTCATTACACTTATTATTCATTAATTATAGTAATATAATAGTGGAAATATTTTTTTAAATCAAAATCACATGAATGAGATACCACTGTAATATCAAGAATTAATATTTTTCCGATACGTCTAAGTAAATTAAATTCAGTTATGTTACATAGCATTGTTCCCAATTGTTTATTTTTATTATGCTTTTAATTTAATCACGTTCTAAAAGAATACAAATTTATATTCAGTTTTATGTTTTCATCTTGAATAATTTTAGACAAGACCGAGCAAATTTTCCGTAATTGTATTTTTTTCTTCATATTGTTCAATTTACTTTCTCTTTAATTTTTGATTTGCCAATGGCATAGAGCAAAATTCTAGGGGGGGGGGATTTCTGTTAGCAATTCTTTCTCATGTAAAAGAAAAACACTATTGTTATAGTAAAAATTTGATAAGAGATTGGAAATTAATGGTTCTGGTGTTTACTTTTTATTGAATATGAAATACAGTTGTTATTATTTTTAATTTATGTGTTATGAAAAATTACAAATTAAGTAGAAGAAACTATCATTAATCTTGTTTTTTGTGCAATAATCGGTGCATTTTTTTCACAATGACTGTGCAGTTTAACTGTGGGATTGTTAAAAGTTATGACTCTAAATAATTGCTTTCTGTCATTTTTCCAATGCATTTACGTCTTGCTGAAATAAACTTAACTAGATTTTTTTTTGAAAAAAAACAAAACTTAATATTTGTTTATTTCTTATGAAGCACATGCTTCTAAAATTCAGAAACGAAGACGGCTAGTTTTTGAGTGAATTTTGTTTTAATACTATCTATAATTAAAAACTATATTTCTATAGATATTTTAATTGTTACATAATTTTCTATTATTCACCTCATTTGGTGCATAAAAGAAAACATATAACATTTCTGTATAGGAAAAAAAAAACTAAATACTTGCAGTATTAAATGTTTTTTGTTATTCTCCTTATTATTAATTGCTACTCTTCTTAAAAATTAATCACTTGTATAGATATTTTATGTTGCCATTAATATGGTTTTACTAATTCAGACCACTTCTAAAAATGATGCTTACTTGAGAATAATGCCGATGATTTGACTGATTATGCCACAATTGCATGAGTTTCTATTTATTTGCATAAATTTTTAAAGTATGCTTTATACACTGAGAAAAGCAGTTGTTAGAAATAACGATTCATTGTAAAACTGGAAAAAAATTGCTCCACTATTAAGTAAAAGATCCTTATTGTTGAAACATCAAACTCTACTTTTCAAAATTTTCCTTTTCCCCTTAAAATGAACTATTTAAACAAAATTGGATGAAAAGAAAACAGGTATAAATATGAATCTTTGTCATTCTTAACTTTCTATTCTACAAAATTGTAACAAAATAAATTGAATTGATTCTTTTATGGCAGTACAGCTCTGAGTAGTCCTTGGCTTGCTGAACGATGTTCCAAACCTTTTAGCTTTGGTTTTCTATCCAGCAATTTTTATTACGGTTATATCTTTTAGGTCTCCAGTTTTACTTAATTTTTTAGAAAAGAAATATCACATGGCTGACTGGTGACAAGTATACTGGTCTTTTCATGCCCAAGCATTGTTGACCGCTGACGAGTTAACTTGTCATTGATTTTGTATTATCTATTTCAATTCATGAAACCCATAGTAATATGGAATATTGCTTTATGCATTGCGTTTATAATAAGCCCCGCTTTATAATTCATAGTAATGTTTTATTTTACTTCCATATTCATTTATAAAATCATAGCCAGTGACATGACAAGTGTTAAAATCAAAAATGCTGTAAATAAAACTAATTTTTTGCAAGGTTAGATGCTTTGATATTTTTAAATCCTAACTCTTTTTTTTTTTCCTTAGTGGAATATGCAGAATTGCGGTTTGTTACTAATGTACTAAAAATTTGGTACAAATGTTGAAACATGAACTTGTTCGTGTTTACAAGAACATGTTAAATGAAGTTTGAGTAAATTCAGTAAAGAAACATAAAGTTGGTTGCTAAATAATTTTTTTCCCCGTGGTTACTTACTTTTTAGAGACTTGGTAAACTGTTCTATGCTTACAATCCACCATATAATATTAGGCCTAAACATTTTTTATTTTAAAAAAAAGTTTCTACTCTTTCTATAAAGCATTTCAGCTATTAAACTGGTTTGCTGTTCCTCAAAAGGCACAAATTTATTTGTTTTGTTCACAAAAAAAAATTTTTGCTAACATCTGATTCAATATGTTTTCTGTCTCAGTTTGACAGCAAGTTTACATTAAAATAGATGAGTAAGTTCAAAACTTTGCATTAATTTTAATTGGATGTGTTCAATACTTAGTTAAACTTAACTTGTTTTTAAACACAAAATATAAATGTGGTTTTTAGCTAAGTTTATAAATTATTTCATGATAATTTTATTACGGAAGAAAAGAACAGAATATTTAAAGCAACAGCATTTGCTATCTTTTTGATAAGTTATGTATTAAAAATAAAAACGCTGGAATCAAGTTTGAAAAAAAAATACATTTCTCAGAAAATGACCTTAAATGTTTTTGTTTTACCTATTTCATTTTCAAAATGTGGTTACACAAACTAAATCCCTTTTGGTAACTTGACCGTTACCAATTTTAAGTTAGAAACTGTTTTACATGCTTAACTAATTTCTCTATCAGATTTTTTAGTTTGATATAAAATGATAAAAATTTAATTGTTTTGCTTTTTATGTTTTGTTTTAGCATTTTTCGTTTCCTCTGCAGTAAATGTTAAATGTGTTCTTTTATGATGTTTGTGTGTTATTCATAGATATTTATTTTACTGAAGGAAATTATGTGAATAAATCAGTTGTGTGCGATAAACATGATTTTTTAGCGCTATAAAAAAACGTGTAGCATTTGCATTTCAAGATTTTTAGTGACTTGTTCATAAGGGTGCATAAGTGCATTGTATCATACTATGATGCAAATTCTAGAGCATACAATTCTGTTATTTATTAAGGCTTCTTTAATATTTGCAGTAAAATTTCTAAAGTTCTCCTATGAAATAAAATTATATAAAAAACTGCTTTTGTTTATTTATTTAGACTTTAAGGAAGCATTTTTATTAAAATCCACATGCTTCATTGTTCTAAGTTGATTAAAACTATTTTCTCTCTCATAAAAAGATTGGATAAATTTATTATCACATTTAAAAAATTATCTGTTCCAAATTGTATTATGGGAAACTGTTACCCTAAATTATTGATCTAAGTTCATAAGCTTTCTTAGACCTAAGTGAACCTAAAAAAACCTGAGTGGATAGTTAATACCTAAACGTAATTCGTTTGGTCAGAAAAGTTTCAAGCTAAATATGCAAGGAAAAAAAGAAAAGAAAGTCATATTTATATAACTGATTATAAAATCAGTACAACAGGCCCAAATGTGTAATCTATGAGCTTAGTTCATAATAGAGAAGTCTTTTCATTATTAAATGAAAATATTTTGAACGATTCTTTATTTATTTATCAATAATTACATACATTTATTTGTAACATAAGATATAAACTATTAAAAACTCTAATAATTACACACATACAAATTTAAGAATCTAATAAAGTGCCTGGTAATAATTGAAGTAAAAGGAAAGCTTACAGATATGAACTCTGTAACAATTAAAAATGACTAATATCAAAGTAATTAATATTTACATAATGTACAACACAATTAAAACATTCAACATAATACAAGGAAAAAAGACATTTACAAGTAACATTGCACACAGATACTAGATTTAAAATTTACATTACTAATATTTATGCCGTCAACATGATTTTCACATGAATTATTTACAACTTACATACAAATATTCTCAAATGATTATGTAGACTAATAATAGTAAACCATAAAACAAGTAATTTATCTTCTTTTTTAACATTTTTACAGAATATCATTCTAGTTAGAAATTCTGAAAATAGGCATCTAATAAAAACGTTGCATTACATATTTTAATAAAATTTTGTTTGTCACAGTTTATAACAAATGTGAGTTTTTAAATGCTGCTGTAGTTTTGGATTAAACAAAATATAATTGTAACCAAATGACAATCTCACTTTCTGTAGAGGATAATGATATTAATATCATTTTTTAATGGCCTAATTTTTTGAAAGTAAGTCTTGCTCTAGCTCAAAAAGTGTTAATTCGAGGAGAAATAGCATGTTTGGTTTTCCTTATTGTTACGTCGCCAGTAGCCTATTGTGTAGTGTGACGTAAAAACTACAAGTTATTATTGTTTACTTTTAAATACTCATAGAAAGTGAGCAGATTGTAAAATCAGATTTCGAATTATAACTTATCAGATATGATTATGTTCAGTGTGCCAAACAAAACGGACCACCCTGAATAACTTTTGATCTAATGATCGGATCTTCACGTTCTACGACTTAATCTAAATGGTTAGAGGGGTAACCTGAAATATGCTACTTAATTAGTGTAGACGATATTATGTTACGAAATCACACACGAAAACGTACTTTCTCTGAATACTCGTACCTAGCTGCAATCTGGGAAAATATGGTTCTCATATTTCGGTCAGGAGAGCGATCCAAAATTCGGACCCCTTAATGTTAATTTTACTTTTTGCGTATTTCGCCATATCTCGAGGACTCTTTAAGCGAATTGAAAAAATTTTTGCATACAATTTATGAGATTCATTAATCCAAAGGTTAATTCCATGCAAAAAATAAATTTTATTAAATATTTTTTCTTACTTTATATTTCATAACAGTCGAAAAAATTTAGAATTGTAAGGCATATAATTTTTTACATAATTTTCAAGTATGTAATTTTACATAACAAAATATAAAATTTGAGCAAAATCGGTAGAATAATTTCTGAGAAATCGAATTATAAAAAAGTCGTATGGTTAAAATTCGATTTCTAAGGAACTATTCAACTGAAATGACGTAAAAATTGCATGACAATTTAAAATTTTTTCGACTGTTATTTAATAAAATAGCTAAAAAATAATATATATTTACTAAAATTTATTTTCTGCATGGAATTATCTTTAGATAAGCAAATTTTAAAATTGTGTGCAAAAATTTTTCAATTCGCATAAAAAGTTCTCGAGATATGGCAAAATACACAAAAAGTAAAATTAACATTAAGAGGACCAAACTTTGGATCGCTCTCCTGACCGAACTATGAGGACCATATTTCGTATATTTTGGGGGTCAGAAATCCGAATCCGTAAAAAAAAAAAAAAAAAAAGTTATTTTTATTAGAGAAAGTTTATTTTTGTGAGTGATTTTGTAACTTCAAATATCGCCTGCACTAATTAATTAGCATATTTCTGGTTACCCCCTCGAACCATTTAGATTGCGTCCTAGAACGTGAAGATCCGATCATTAGATCAAAAGTTATTCAGGATGGTCAGGTTTTTTTTGGTGCATTGTACTTTGGATTATATACACAGCAGCCACCAAATGGCTCAGACAATGCACCATGTATAAAACTTTCAATCGAAATAACAGTGTTGAACACTATTTTGTATCTTTGATTTAGCATTAACAGTCGAAAAGCACAGTTTGTTTTAAACAGCACAGCACGTTAAAGAGCTTAGTGAAAAAAGTCTTTTAAGTGACACTTTGATGAATATGAATGAAGGAGATTTAAAGTTTATTTGTCGATTATACTGTGACTTCAATTTTTTTGGCCTCAATAAGTCCTTTATTTTCTCACCGAACTAATCTGCCAAACGAGTGCAGACGGGGAGGAAAAATTCTAAATATGCTTTTATTCTCTTTATTTAATTTTTACAAATAAACTGATAATGGATAATAGTAGTATCTTTCGATACATGTAAAATACAAGGTGTGATATAAAGCGTGCAGTATTTTAGAATCTCTATCAATTTTAAATTTTTTTTTTTAATTTCAAAATTACAATTTTGCAATCAACAGTTTTTGATGAGTAGTTCAATAGTTGACAATTGCCTGTTTTTAGTAAGAATATTTTTTTTTTTTTTTGCAATTAACGTTAAAAGAATATTTTTAGCTTCGTCCAAATCTGTTTTTACTTGTTTAAACTGTAATGAAATTATATTTTAAAAAATATAAAAACTGAGAGAAGTGTAGTTTTAAATTACTTACTAAAGAATCAAATCATTTTATTGCTTTAAGAGTTTTGAAGAAAAATTCATAGAAAATTATTAAGATACATTATTAGATTACATTAAAAATTATCAAGTGCTATTTCACCTAATATAATATAGCCACCTCGGTATTTTCTAAGCTTTTTTTGGAAGATATTGTGCTGTCTAATAATACTATATCAAAAGTTTGTTAAGTACAAAAAATATCAAGGAAGCAACAAATTAAAAATTTAAAATCCAAAATGGCGAAGGTAGAGGCCGTTTAAGTTTTCAATTGGCAAAATCTACAAATCATTAATACTAGTTTAAATTGTTTGAACTTATGGCGTTATAGTTTGCAGCAATACTCGTCAACTGTTTGTTGCCAAACATCTTTATAACCTTTTTTCACTGTGAAAACAATTAAAGATAGTCATTTATTCACCGAGGTCTTCGAAATTAATGACTTGGCTAAGTAATTCAATATTGTGCTATTAAACAATATCTTTTCCAAAGCATACTCATTTTTTGTACATCATTTAAAAGTACCTCCAAAAGTACTTCATTTTTTCGAAAGTGTCACTTCGAACCTTTTTCACCTAAGCTCTTTAATTCCACGATTATTTCCAAAAGGAATCTGTGGCACTTTCAAACTTCTTTCCACTTTCATGACTGAAATTTACATAATTGGCATCCGTCTTTTATGAAATAACGGTACTATATATTTTCAAAGTTCCGTACTGCCACAAAAGCCACTGTAAGTCCTTGTTCCGTCCCTAGGACGGCTAGAATCAAAATCTGATATGACGAAAGGTTCTGTGTGATGAGCAGGACATGTTGTCTTAGGTGGACAACTGCACAAGGTACTTGTGGTCACTTCTTCCACGGGATACCGTTTACGGACGGTAAATAAACGGCAAGGTTCTTTTCTACGACATCGCATAGTCTGAAAGATAAACAATTTTATATTAGTTTCATGGAACTTGGAATAACTTTAACTGTTACTATTATGTAGACAGCATTGATTGAAAAAAGAAAGCGATGCAAACTTTAGTTTCAAACTGAAGAATTAAAATAGTATGGGGCAGTAAAAAGTTCTTAAAAACGTGTCATGCAATGTGTTAGGAAAGAAGGAAACATTTCCGAACCCAAAACCACAATTCTTTTTATATTTGTTATGTACCATAGCATGAAAAATTTGTATTTTTCGGTTTGGCAATGAAATTACATTTTTAAAAATGTTGAACATTATATATATTTTTTAAATTAAATCACACAATTCTTGCCAAAAAGATAGTAATAGTTTGAAATACCGTCATGTTTATTGACACTGCTCGTAATTTTTTCAGAACACATTTCCAGTATGTTGTGTATAGGTAAATTTGTTAAAGTTTAAATGCCAAAACACAATTAAAATAAACAAATTTTTTTTTTCAGTTGTAACTCTGGATAATTCATGTAAAACAATTTGTAAATACTATTTAACTTATTATTAAATTTTTAATTTACTCAATTTAAAATAATAAATTTTAAATTTATAATATTTTGTTTTGAGGAAATCTTTAGTAAATGACATTTCTAAAATCATTTTTTTACCTAAGGTAGAGTTTCAAAGATACAATTTCTGAACAAAAATATCTGTTTAAACTTTTAGAATTATAACCAGCTTTTTCTGCTGTATTGGTGGTGGCTGCAGCCACAAAGGTCTAATCCAAACTTCAGTACTGTTGAGGTGGCAGAATATATTGAGTTATTATTCCAAACTTTTGAGCAAATATTTCTGCTAAGAAATATTAACTCCAAAACTGTACCTCAAGTCAATTTTCTAAACATTTTTAGTCGAATTTTTACAACTTTTAGCCCATTTAAGAAATTAAGCGAATTTCTATAAAGTGAATATTAAGCGATACTCTCACCCCAGATGATTATGACCAAGTGACCGACTGAAAGAGTTAGTCAGCAAAAGCGCCTAACCTTTTTGGATTTTTGGCCATCTTTTAGAAATTAACAGTGCGTGATAAGTCATAAATTAGGAACTTGGGCCCTATAGGCAAAGGCTCCGTAGTTCTTTGAAATGATGCTTTTTTGCGAAGAATATGCTATTTTAATAACTGCTTAGCTTAAGTTTAAAAGATTTACTCACAACTGTTAGGTCAAGTTTAGGCCAGTGCTCTCAATGCTTAATCTGAAAATTAGCCAANTTGAAATGATGCTTTTTTGCGAAGAATATGCTATTTTAATAACTGCTTAGCTTAAGTTTGAAAGAGTTACTCACAACTGTTAGGTCAAGTTTAGGCCAGTGCTCTCAATGCTTAATCTGAAAGTTGGCGTAAAACATCAATATGGAAAAAAATCCACAGTTTTGCGAAAATAAAAAGCATTTATGGTCTAAATTTTTAAGAACTTACTCTATTATCTAGGCTCATGAAAATTTGCAAAAACTGAGAATAAGGTAGTGATTTTGATAATTTTCATCTATGAAGAAAAATGTCGCGAAATTGGAGATTTTTAGAAAAGTTTCATATCTTTTAAAATATTTAAGTTATGTGTCCGTTCTAAAGCACTGATAATTCCTCACGGCAAGATTATGCAGTTTAAAATTATAGCTTCGCTTCAATCGTAAGGAACTTAAACTGTGGTTTTGTTTTATTTTCCTTGGCGAAAGAGCATGTTAACGCCTCACAAAACTCTTTAAAAGAGACTTGGTATGTTTTTAGTGCAACAAAATATATTCTATGATGACTAATAATAAAACTATCAAGTGAGTTCTTACACTTTCTGGAGAGCAAGAGAAATGGTAATAGTAGAGCATTCCTTGTGAAGTCATTCTCATGTCACGGCCAGATATGTAAGTTGTGCTGTTCTCTGGGCACTTGCAATGGAGTCTCTGTTGGAATTTGTTATCTGCACTCGTTATGTGAGTCCAAGTGATGTCTTTGAAGTAGCGACAAGTAGGAAGTCTATCAACTGTCTCACATACCTAAAAAGAAAAAAAAAGATGCGATGTCAGAAATTTTCTTTTCATTTATGTAAACAATTTCGTCTTAACACCCGAGGTTATAGAATCGGACTCCGATCCTCGACTACAGTAAGATCTACCGAGTACATGCTCGTAAAATCTGTGGAATCGAAAGTTCTGTGGTCGGTCGCTGAGTAGTACCATTGGGTACAGAGATCTCGAAAGAATTTCCTTTCCCTTTAGATCAGCTCACATGAAATTTTGTGAGTACAGTAGAGCGCCGATTATCTGAACCCTTATTATCCGAACTTCCAATTATCCGAACTCTGTCCAAATTCACTTTTTTTAAAGTTTAGAATACTTTTTTTTCTGAATTTAGAAGAATAAATAATATCCACTACATCTGAAGACCATATTTAATTTACAACCATTTTTAGCAGTTTTCTTTCAGTAGTTTACATGTATACAGTTAAACCTACATACCTCTTCAACTGAAAATTATTTTCCAAGAATGCGAGCTTCATTTTGACAGTCTACAATGGTTAGAATGCGGAAGGAGTTTATGAACAGATAAGTGCTGAAGTTCTACAATTGGGGGATGGGTAGTTGTCATTTATGGTTAATGATTATTGATTACAGTGCTTGGAATCTTAAAACTGGGAATAAAAATTTTAACAGAAAAACAAGCGAAACTGAAGTTTCTGAACCAGTAGATCTTCCGGATGAAAAGATTCCAGGTTATACAGCAGAAGAAATCGAAGACCAGTGTCGAGACACTGAAGACGACCCAGGATTTCAAATTTTAAATGATGAAATTGTTGCTGAAATTTTGAATGAAAATCGGAACTCCTCAGACGAAGAGGTAGGCGATCAAGTTCAAGATAGTGAATCTTCTCATTTAGAAGCATGCAATTCATTAGATATTACATTGAATTGAAAAAGAAGTAAAAAATAAAAACTTTTAAACACACCAGAGCTATTTTAGATAGTACTGTCAATCCTAAGCCTAGAAAAAGTGTGAAGGGAAGTTAGTGCATAAATCATTTAAACTAGATTTTAAACAACTTTCCAATTAACCGAACTTTTCATTATCCGAACCACGTTCGGTCCTAGCATTTCGGATAATCGACGTTCTACATGCCAAATGGCAAGGCAATATTTTCCGAAAAGGGAAATTTTTGGGAGGTCCCATCCCTGCTCCCCTGTGGATCATCGCAGGGATGTTTCCCAGACCATCGCCAATAGCCCATTGTGCTGCTCTTGTGCGACGTTAATAAATTACCAACTTACCTACCTTATCTTAATACTTTCATCACTTTTGTCCCACCCTCTTTGCTAAGAAGAGTTATTTCTATTGCGGAAACAACACATCTCTAAAAATTGTGCTGCATGCGTCATCTGGTAGAAATGTTGCAAAGACAAAATATTAGAGACCGGAATGCACTAAAATGCTGATATATAAGTCGCTAGACACACTGAATGATAAAGAAAAAAATCCTGAATACAAAAGGAGTTATCTTGTTCCAACGAATATTCCTGGACAACGAATAATCTCGTCAGTCGCGTTGAAAGAGTTAAGGGTCCCTTTCAAAAAGGAAAAGAGATTCTACTCCTTCTAACTTATAGGGAATTACATAAATGAAATTTTTTTTTAACTTATTCACTAACATTTTTGAATATTTTGTTGAAATGTTTATTTTTTAACCCCAGTTATCCAATTTTAAATTTGAAGAAGGTTAAGTATTTTTAAAATTTTTCTAGAATTGAAAGTTTATTCAGAGCTTATATTTTAAAATAACTCACAATCTTAAAATTTGGTGGCTAGTTTCAATAGAAAAAAATTTCTGAGACAAAAAAATGTTAATTAGTTGCTAAAGAAATAAAGAAAATGTTAGTTACTTAATGCTTTAAAGTAGAATCCCTTTTCTGTCTGAATAACCTTAAGAGTATTTTTTCAATAAATTTTTCACCAGAAAGAATATTAATAATAATAACAATAATTAATAATAATTATTGTTATTATTAATAATTAAAAACAACAATAATAATTAATAATAATAATAACCAATTTGAGTGCCTAAAATTTGAAGTAATGTTTTAGTTTTAAACTATACATAATTTAAGAAATTTAAAATTTTTACATGTAAAAAAAAAGTAAAAAGAAAAAAATGGGTTGAATAAAGAATTTAGTTCAAATACAATTGAAAAAAAAAATTAATGCCATTTTTTACTAGCATGATTTTATTTTTTTAATTTTTACAATTCCAACTTGAGGTATAATCAAATAAAGTNATTTAGTTCAAATGCAATTAAAAAAAAAATTAACGCCATTTTTTACTAGCAGGATTTTTTTTTTTTTTTTTGAATTTTTTATAATTCCAACTTATTGTATAATCAAATAAAGTGACCGATTCAAGCAATTTAATTGATGCGGTAAATGAAAAAGTGAGGGGGAGGGGGAAATAACATGCAGCCAGCTATCGTAACTTAGTTTTGCGATATTTCTCCCAGGGAGTTGTCTTTCCAACAATGTTTAACTTCGAGCAGAAAAGACACTCTTACAGTTTCTTTATCGACTTACGACGTTTACCTTCTTAAATTGGTTCATTAGATTCGAGTCAAAAATGACAAAATCAGAACAAACCATTCGTATAATTCTAACACTAATTAAGACTGAACTTAGAAAGGGAAAAATAATTGTTCGCTTACCTTATATTGACGAGTTCTATCAACGACTGTGTGGCCATCATCAGCTTGAATCGAAGTGGAACATTTGGAGTTGCGACAAGTGCACAGACGTTCGACCCAAGGTCTAGAATACGTGTCGACTCTGTTGCAGACTGCCCACCGCTCACATTGTGGAATGTCAGAATTATTTGACTGAAACATACATTTTAAAATAAATTAAATTTTAATTAACTTTTTGTAGTAACGAAAAAAAAACAACTTTTATGTAATAACAGCATTCTTTACATAGTAAAACAATAGATTTTAAACAAAATTATTGAAAAACTTCAATTCTTACAGAAGCATATTGAATTTTACTAAACGTAAATGTTTTTAAAAATAATTCTTGTGTGAAATCGTTCGTTAATAATCGTTAACCTCAGAAAACTAAACATTCGTTTTATCAATTATCATCAATCAGCTTTTGTCATTTTGGAGAATTTTAGACACTTTGACATCATTGAGAGCGAACTATTTATTATCCTACACTTACTTTAACATCTTCAAAGATTACAAATGTTAAATTTCCTCATTTATCTATATTTTAATAAAATATTCAGAATCTATAAAATAAACGAAATATTAAAATAAGTAGGTTTTTAATTCGTAGTCGTATGACTACTTCATAGAATTCTTGTTTTACTGAATGATTGACCTCGACAGTTACAAGTTAAATCGTTTTAAGAATTTAACAAAAAACACTAAGGATTTATATTAATTAGATAAGCAATTTTATATTATAAGCAATTTTATATGAACAAATTTATTATTTTTATTAAAGAACTTAATGAAATTTCGAAGAAGCAGAGGGGTTACCGCATACTTTTGGAACAGTTTATTAGCTGTAAATATTCCAATTTTAACGTCATTTAACTCGAAATACCAAATTTTTAAAGGCAATTTTTTTTAACTCCACCTTATTAAAGTAAATTACTGTTCTTTTATTAGACGAATAGTTGAAAACCATATTCGCTTCTTAAAAACCATTTCGAAATCCCAAAAATAAACCTTAAAAGTATGTAAAAAATGGACTACTTTAATGAAGAAGAAAAAAAATAAACACTTTATTTTAGAATGTTTTGGAAATACTTTTTTTTCTAGTTTATTCTGGAATAAGAATCTCAACGGGATTTAACAACACAATCTTAACCGTTTTATATTTCCAAATTTTTACGTCTATTACATTTTGGATATGTTTTTAACAAAATAAAAAGAAGTATAAAAATATACGAAACCATGCTTAGTTCCTCGATAATAATAACATCTCATTTGAAAAATTCAAGACTTATACTTTTTTATCAACTAAGTTGAGTTTTGAATGTGTTGTTAAAAATATGTAACTTATTTCATGTCCAATAGAGGTTGCATGTTCCAAATTTTTGTTATTAAAGTACAATTTAAAGAAAAATTTCTAAAACTCTAGTTATTGTCCTGTACAATGAAACATAATGCTAATCACATTTCAGCAAGAGTAACGCCACAACTAAAAAATAAATTACTTTAAATTTTAATCGACTAAGTTGGGATTTAAATGCGTTCAGTCAATTAGTAACTGAAGTCCTAAAGATAGAAGTTTCTCTAATTTCTACATTAAACCCTACACTCAATCATTCTCTAATTTATATTTCGAAATTATTCGATTCATTGTTCCATAATTTAAGAATTAATTATTTATTTTTTGCTGTATAATCCGAAATTTTTGAATATAAAGTTAGATGAGACATCAAAACTTAAAAATTCTCACATAATGTAGAAGAAAAAATAAAACTCTCTTAAATTTTGAAATTATAGCCCCAACGATTTCTGAAGAATAATTCGAGGAACATGTAACCTGCATTAATTAGAAATTGAGCTACTTATTTTAAACTAAAGCACATTCAAAACTCAATTTATAAAAAGTATAAGTCGTGCGTGTTTCAGATGAGACGTAATTATCATTGAGATGCTATGAAACATCTACAACATATAATGTCATGTATATGCGAGTAAAACATTATTCATTCTTGAAACAATCCAAGGAAGCTTAAATTCCATTTATATGCAAACAAATGTAGGGTAAGGATGTGCTTAATTATAAAAGCCCTATAAATTATGCAGATATATCTTAAAAATCATACGGTAATTTTTTAAAACTATGAGGATTGAGTGCGGATGACCTACAAAAAAGGAAATAAAAAAAAATAATTTAAAAAAAAACTCATTTTTTTCATTTTCTTTGTTGTTGCAATTACTATTTTTCAAATATTACAGGAGATTTTAACTAATATACCGAGCGTTGCTAAGTTTAAGTTGCTAAAAGAATTCTTAAACTTGAAAAAGAACTTGCATCGGAAAAAAAATTTTTACCTGGTAAATTAAGACATTTTGCTGAAAAATAAAATATAATGGGGATATTCGGCAATAATGCGGACAGTTGTAAAACATACGATTTTCCACATCTTTCCACAATGTGTACGGTCCTACTGATTACATATTTCACAGTTTTTGTAACGGAGTTACATTTCCCTGGTAAAATCTACCCATTTTTTTCGTTTGATTCTTAAAGAAAAGTTCCAACCAATGCCATTCCTAGTCTTCTGCTCCTTCAGCGATCTTCTTAGATTGAAATGAAATCAGCTACGAGCATCCGCCGAGGTAAGGAGCATATTTCATTAAATATTGACAGAGATCATGCCTCAATAGTAAGGCCATGCTCCAGACGATGAGAAATGCCATAATTCCATCATTCAGCGAAAGACATTTTAATTGCGTTTTCGAAGTCACACATGGTTTGTGTTGCACTTAGAATAAAGTTGCTGCGGAAGACCACTAATGTGTGTCGAGCGTTTAGCTGAACACTTAATTAATGCTTTAAAAACCTTGCTTTTTCTTGACGCTGTTTTCCCACGTGTCACACTCATGCCTGTTTCCTTTCGTTCCCAAAGGATGTCCCGTGCAAGAAAGAATAAAAATCCACAAGAAAAATAACCATGCGTGATATGTCTCACGGGACTTCATTACGAACTTCGTTTTTATTATCACTAGATCAATGTTGCTGTTTAAATGTATCACCAATGGAGAAAAAAAATTCATTATCAGGGCATCCGGAAGAATTAGAGGGGGTCATAAACTGACGCCTGAGACAGTAGTAATTATTATTGCATGGCATTCCAATGGCGCTCTGCAAATCACCTAAAGAACATTAAAATTTATATCCATTTCGTTTCCAATGAAAGATTAATAATTTATTTTGAGCGAACAGACGAGAATTTTGTACATTAGAAATTAAGAGATTCTATCTAAATCCTTTCCAGGAAAATGGCATAAAAACTGTTCCATACTTTTTTCTAATTTCCCACGTGTCCGGAAGAATAAGAGGGGTTATAAACTGACGCCTGAGACAGTGGTAATTATTACACGGTATTCCAATGGCGCTCTGTAAATCTCCTATGTAACATTAAAATTTGCATCCATTTCATTTCCAATGAAAAATTAATAATTTTTTTTGAGCAAACAAACGAGAGTTTTGTATATTAGAAATTAAGAGATTCTATCTAAATCCTTTCAAGGAAAGTGGCATAAAAACTGTTCCACATTTTTTCTAATAATATATGACCTAATGAAATTGTACCTGCTGTTATCTTAAATTGTGTGATTTTTAATCAACCACGTAATTGCATCCATGGAGAAAAAAAATTCGTTATTAAAATCAAAGAGAAATAAATTCATCCCCAAGAATAGGAGGGATCATAAATTGATGCGTGAGGCAGTGGTAATCATTGCATGCCATCCCAATGGTGCCCTGTAAATTCCTTAAAGAACATTAAGATTTGCTTCTATTTCACTTGCAACGAAAAGTTAATAATTTTCTTGAGAAAACTGACGAGCGTTTTGTACATCAGAAATTGAGAGATTATACCTGAATTCTTTCAAGGCAAGTAACATAAAAACTGTTCTATATATTTTTGATAATATAAACTACTAAAATCGTGAAGACTGTTATCTTAAACAGCGCTGTAATTAATCAATCATGTAATTGTATCATCAATGGAGAAAAAAATTCATTACGCGGGGAAGATGGATGAGGGGAGTCATAAACTGATGCATGAGACAGTAGTAATTATTGCATGGCATTCCAATGGAGCTCAGTAAATCACCTAAGGAACATAAAGAATTGCTTCCATTTCATTTACGGTATAAATTTATAATTTTTTTGAGCAAATAAAAGATAATTTTGTGTAATGGTACATCAGGAATTCTAAATGAATCCTTTTAAGGGAAGTGACACAAAAATGATTTCACGTGTTTTTGATAATATGAACTTCTGAAATTTTAACAGCTAACCTTAACAGCTTATCTTAAACGGCGCGGTTTTTATTCAACCTGGTAATTGTATTATCATTGAAGGAAAAATTTTATTATGCTGGCATTCAGACGAATAAGAGGGGTCATAAACTGATGCGAGTGACTGCAGTAATTGTCGCATGTCACTCGAATGAAAAATTTACAATTTTCTTGTGCAAACTGCCGAGAATTTTGTGCATCCGAAATTGAGGTATTCTACCTGAATCCTTTTAGGGACGATGGCATACAAACTGTCTCAAAAATTTTCAATAATATAAACAACTAATTTTATTAAAGTTTTTAATCTCTCAAATAATGCTGTTTTTATTCAACTATTATCTTTCCACAAAGACGGAAAAATTCATGTCGGCACCTGATGGATTTAGTGAGATTTTGAACTGATACGTGAGACAGAAGTATCACATGACATTCCAATGGTGATCAATAAATTACCTAACAAACATTACAATTTGCCCCCATCCCTTTTACGATGAAAAATTTAGCATTTTATCGTGCAAAACAGACAGGAGTTTTGAGATAATAATACGTAGAAGTTGAAATGTTTTACCTTAAATCTTTTAGGGACGCTGGGATAAAAGTTGTTTAACCAATATTTGGCAATAATATAAATCCTTTAAAATTTTAATAGTTTTATCTTTTAAACGTTGCGTTTTTAAACAGCCAACTTAAATTTTCACAAATTTAAATATGAAGCCAAAGGTTCTTTTGGATGTGCATACTCTGATATCAGTTTTTACGGCTCTTCTTGGTCAAATTTTAGGTTCAAATACTTTTTTTTTCCTCACGCGTAAGGTAAAAAAGTACTAGCC